AGTGCGGCAGTGAGAGATGTTACCACTGAGTTATTCAGGCCATTGTCGACCTCTTGTAGAACTGTGCAGGATGACCAACTTCATGTTATCTAGTTCCAGGTGCTGATCGAATTCTATGGATGACTTTGCAATGTAGCCGTCAGGAAAGGTGGCTCAGCATCCTGATCCACCGAAAAAGATACATCACCTTTTCCAAATTAAAAAAATTTCAGTATCTGCTCCATAAAACTATTCTTATTTTTGTTGAAGCGTAACCGCTTTCTGAAAGCACCTGGAGATAAGTATGACTGGCTGATTTCTGAATGTTGGCGTTCTTCAGTAGTATATTTCGTTAGCTTATGACACCTTGCGTATTGTACAGTCGACAATATGTAATTTCGGTTTGTAGAAGTTACCTCAGTAATTAAAAACTATTCCTTCTCATCTCCTCAAAACCGGTCCATTCCTCATAGTTATTCCATGAAAATTAAGCTAAATCCAATCAAAGAAACTATTACTTCAGTAATTATCTAAAAACCTAATTAACGTTTTCAGCGGAGGAAAATAAGAATAGAACCAGATTTTTTTTAGGATTTGGGATGTGTTTATAGGATGATTGGTTGTAAAGTTTTAGCTTTCTTCAAAAAATATTTGATCTGTCCGCTCAATTTCTGAAAGAGTAAATTAATAAAAATAGCCGGTCTCTCAGTTTGGATGAAACTATTCTAAAAGTTAACTGCTGGATACGAAAACCACTGTACCATGACAATTAAGTCGATCATTGATCTATATACTTTCTTTGCTATGCCATCTGAGGTGTTTAGACGAAGAATAAGGTCAAATCACTTCGACAGTAGTTTTAACTATACCGTATATCATGAACAAATCGCTCTTTTGTTAACCACATAATATGCAGTTGTAGGCCATTGGTATAGGCAATCTAATTTGAATCAGTGGGTTATAGTTTCATGTCATGTTTCACTTTTCAAAGTCTTGGTAGTCAAGTAGTATCATAAGCCCCACATCATCTTCTACTACAAGGACTTGCACGTGGTTATTCAGCCTCGCTTTTTTGTATGATATTCTAAAAGGAAAAGGCTAAACTTCTAAAGTTGAAAGGAGTCATTCCAGAGGTGATGAAACATGCCACCACTCACTAACCCTTTCTAGAAGGCATAACTCGCCTTCTAGGCAAGAGCTTGCTACGGTCCAGGATATACTTTAGTTTACTAAAATGGTTTTACTACCATGAGGTCGGGACTGAATTGTAAGCTAACACCTAACTTGTGATAGTAGTACACCAATGGCTTCTCAACCGCCGGTCGTCTGTCTTACTGCCTAATTCATGAGGCCTACCACTTCATACCATTAAGACCAGTAGGCCAAACTTAGACTGTTTCAGAAGACCTTATCAATAACTAATAGATCATGCAACTTTTACGTATTTTAACTCAGTTTATGTCCACAGGGAAACGTTAGTTGGTTTCATTTACTAAAAATGTGCAATCATACTTATAAGTGGGTATTGAAAACAGTTCTTGATTAGTATGGATCCATCAGTTCATTTGTTCCTGTGGAGTAAAATACATACATACATAACTGATTGATAACTGTTCGTGAAAGAGGAACATGAGCTGGGCAGGACTATAGATGATTGAAGTGAGATACGCAGCAGTATAGCAACCCACTTCTACAGTTCATTCTGCAAACTGGTACTCGCAAGTTGTTGTTTTAAATCCTACACATGTCCAGGTTTTCACCCCAACTTCAATGAAACAGTGACATACATTTGGTTTTTCACTAACAAATAAACACCCTTAAAGATAAAGGGAAAGTAACAGAGGTGAAATACGGTGTGGTTCAAATCAATGTCACAGTTAAGATTTGTATATCAATACGATTTGCAGGGGGAATAATTCTAAGAACTTAGAATTCCCCTTTATGTTATAACTAGAAGATAATAAATATTTTGTCATATCCTAGAATGAAGATTATGAAATGACTGTACACCAGCCTAACATCCTATACTTAAATTAACATCGGTCAGTTAGTGACCCTTTCCAACTACTCCTTCTGTATTCAACGGTCAGTATTATGTCCTTATTTGTCTTTCTTCAATCTATCACCAATCAGTCAGTTGACTACCATGCATACAATGCCCATACTTACACTTTCACGTTCCAACAGCTCATACTTGTAATGCATTACATTTATCCCATTGAAAATAAAAGTCTATTCATAAATGAAATCACTGTCTGGAACAATAACCACTTGCATGTTCATACACTTAGCAGAGCGAAGTTCAAACGCTCGACAGCTAGCTTGAACGTCAACTGTCTACACCAATCAGTTTAAGTTCTACTATTTACAGAAGATGTTAGTACATTTAAGAAATTAGTGACCGTTGTTACTAGACCACAGTGTCAAGAAGTAAATGAATTTTATAAATTAATTTGTACAATGTGGTCAATATATCCTATTGAACATTGAACACGAAAGTATCAATATTAAGTAGTTAAAAGCTGCAGAAACACATAAACACACTAATAATAAACAACCACGTTTAATAACCTAATCAAAGTAGATTAAGCAGCAAAGTTATTTTACGCTCTATGAATTCGCCTAATTACTTTTGATACTTTAAGTGAATTCACTGTTGATAGGTTGAATTCAGTCTACGTAAGCTTCGAATTGATTTCACTTAGATTTATTCCTTTTCACTCCCAAAGTTTGCGAGGGATTGATTGCTATTAAAGCAGCTGCTAGCAGGAATCGAAGTCGAATAATTAACTGTTTAAGGTTACTTCTTCTTAGCTTAGGACCTGTCACTGGTGCTAACTGATGACCGCATAAGTAACTGAGGCTACAGCTACCAGTCTATTCGCCATATATGACGTGATTGTCGTTCAGTGTTGCTGTTAGTTACCTGCTGTCACGCCTGTCTTGCTTGACTCTATAGCTCATAGTTCGTTATTGGAATAACGGCAAATCGACGCCGAATCAAGCCATTTAATAAGCAGTGGACTGTAACTTTATTTCAAATCAGGTTATCAAGTTTTTTAACAGCGGACAAGCACTAAGTTGCTGTGGTCTGCCTAACAACAGTGAATGACTGATGTTAATACTTTTCTACATCTTATGTCGTTCCACAGAAAACCACATCAGCTGTCCAGTGCCCATGGGTATTCAACAATTCTCTAAATGATGTTGATCTATGGCGAAAACTACTTTGAAGTTCTCTAATCTCCTCAAACTACCAACTGAGTTCAATTAAACTACTAATTACACTACTATTATGGATGGATAATATTTCACTTTGCATACGTAAGGCGCACGTGACTACAGAATACACTCTAGTAGAAAATGCACGTGTGTTTTTTTAAATTACATATATATCTGCAAATGCAGGTGAGCATACTAGCTATGTGGCAAGGAATCTGAATGGTCAGTCTTTCTCAAACAAGCATTTCTCATTTGTGAACAGGCATCTACGGATAATGGGTGAGGTAGGGTAAACAGACCAATTAGCTTTGTATATACACTACTCAAACGTGTGTACAGATACAGATTATCTTAACTGACTTATGAGTATGTTTGCATATAGGTATGTGTCTGCGTGTATGTGAGAGAGAGAGACGATTTTTTTGATTGAAGGAGGTAGGTTGACATGTTTGTATGCACTTAGTGAGCAGTAGAGAAACCACACATCATTCCGAATACGCCTAATGAAGGGTTCACCTAGCCAACTTTCAAAAAGCAGCAGAAAATGGCAGCACACAATCACACATGCTCCCAGAACACTGAAGAGTTGACTTACACGTGTGTACGCATCGCTTCTCACAGTTATTGGCTTATGTCTTAACAAGTTATCTGAGATATAGGTTTATGCATATCACAACTCACTTGGTAAAGTCGTATTGGCTAGGATTTGTAATAACAAATGATTATAGAAATTTACTTGTCAGTTGTCACACGCACACACTAGTATATACACATAAACCATATACTCATTGCCACCCCCTATTCCTTCTTGTCCTCTTCCACAGAGCTTCTCACCATTAACTGAATACCGGAATATCACATAAGAGAAAACATCAGCATGTATTACCACCCCGAAATCACTGTAAAGGGAGAGGAAGAAGTAGATGTATGTAAGTATATGATGTATTCATGTCTCTGTTTCTGTTCATTTGCGTGTGTGTGTTTATATATATCAGAGATAGACCATTTAGACGACCAGACAAATAGTGAGCAGTATTTCTAGGAATAATAACAATATCATTATTAACAACAATGATCATAACCAATCTTTAATTTTTGAAACGTCTCTGAAACTCACCCTATACAAATAAACACACACACACATGCGCACACTAGAAGAAATAGATAACGAATATATTCAGCTTCTACAAAAACTCATTTCTCAACATTCACAAGTTATTTTGCATAAAGTGTCACATTTATGACATTGCACAATTAGCATTTAATATTAAAACTGGGCATCTTTATTCAGTCAAACAATTTACTATTTCACTCATTCGAATATTATCAACAGAAACTGAAGGTTCAAGAGAGATGGATATTGTACAACATACGCGCGGTAAGTTATTGTTAAATTATGTGCAGTTTTTGAAAGGAAAAAATTATTTAATGCAGGTAAGTGATTCTAGTAATTCACGAATTTAATTTGTAAACTTGACTTGTTATCTCCTATTGTTGGTTGGTTTGAATCGAACAGATCAACCACACTGTTGACATATAATCACCTGCTAAGATGCCTTAATATAACTGGTAATTTCATTCGAATACTAAAAGAGATAAATTATGACGAAGAAGGGAATCCAGAACACATTTCCCCGCCTACTCATGACTCATCAGCTGACTAGCGATGAGTGTTATTGTTTGTTTTTAAAAATGTGTGGAAGACCCCAGCTGAACTCCATTGCCAATCACTATTCTTCCATTGTGTAAGATACTTTGATGTTTTTGGCAGTGTTACTGAATGGAGACACCCTTACCCTTATTCATAGTAGATGTACTGAAACATGAGGCAGGAGTTTTCAGTCTTCATATTTTGAAATGTGCTTCATACGGTTTTATTTGACATTCAAAAACTAAGTAAAACTGTGTCCAGTAACCTGTCAGTATTTATATATGAAAGATGTATCTGGTGTCAGTTTTACTCTCGAAATGTATCAAATGACATGCTGGACAGTAGCAGCTTACCGTACACAATTTTAAATTTAATACCCATGTGGAATTCCACTCACCCTACAACATTTGTTATTATGGCTTTGGAGAAATTTATCGAAGTAAATTATTGTATAATATAATTAAAACATTTGGGAATTCAACATAAAACAGAAACAATCTACAATTTCCAAAAATGTATTAACATACTGGTCGGATAAAATATGCTTCTGTTCATAAAGATATACAAAGACTATTCATACGACTAAGTGTCAGTCGTTGTTATCAATTTCAGTATTGTAACCTGAACTATTCAAGGTATATGTCTCATTGGTTAGATCCTCTTGATTTGGTGAAGTAACATTTCTTGTTAGAGCAACCGTTATCCAGAAAGCCATATCTATCATCAAAATGTTTGCATTTATTTGTTTTGTAGATTCATAGTGACTTATTGCGTTCGTAACTAATATAACTAACAATTATCCTCAATAAATAAGTTTATGAAGCCATTAAAAAGTAATTACTATAAGTTCCCTGGTAAAAGATAGCCCATTCATTTGTTCTTGTTTTTCTAATCATATAACTGACTGGAATGAAACCTAGATAATAATTCACTTGTTGGTTTGTAGAGATTTATCAGCTTAAAGGTAGTTTGTATAACGAAATGACCTCCGTCAAAAGCCCTAAAGGCACTGAATAACTGTTTCATCCTAGTTTGGGACACGTCAGCACTGCTTAGTAACTTGATTCATGATGTGTTTCTCAAAATTCTAATGAGAAGCCTCAACCCGTAAGGTAAACTAGTTTGGGAGTGTGGAGGAAACCCAGCAATAACATAAGATAATGAAAGCTTACTGTGAAGCCTAGTGGGCATATAGCCAACTTTTGAGGATCCCGGGATAAGTCAAAACAGCTATCGGGTGCTCAAAGATTATCATTGGTTTTCCAAATGATCTCAATTATGAATAAAGCCGCCTTAAAATAAAGACATTTATCAAGATGTATAGGTGTATGCTGTATAACATCCATCAATCTTCAAATTACGTTAAATAGTTGAAAGACATACGTATGCAGTAACGAAGCAGGAAAATTGACTGAGGATAATTAATATGGAATGATGATTGAATGTGAAATGAAAAGCTGAGTCAAACGAGGATTTGAATCAGTGATCTCGTAGCTCAGCTAGCAGAGTGTCTGATTGGCAATCCATAGACAGCTAATTCGAATCCTGTCAAAACCCACTTTCAATCATCTCTCCGTATCAAGAATATGAGTTTACTAAACCATGGATATCTAAGAGAATCCAAATAACAATAAATGTAATTATTATATTTTGTAACAGTGATTAACATAACTGAAAAAGCACGAATTTTTGACTGTGGAAAGTGCTTTCAGCTATTGCATAACCATCTTTAAGTCCCGCGCTTGTTGCCAAATTTATGCTTGACGGCAAGCATCAAATGGATACTAACTAATATAAATTACTAAAAGCTTTTGTGTAATTTAATAAAACTGTAGTGCACAATGTTGTATAACCTATATTCCACGAGTGTGCTCAGACATTTGAGGTATGGTCAGTAATTGAAAGGTTAGGTAGAACAATGACTGGTACTCATAGAATAGGTTGTGTTCATAGTCTACTACACTGACTTTTAAAGGGATGTGGAAGAGCATTTGTTTAAAGTATATGTTTGCACTTATTCACTAATTTTTGTTGATTATTCTCTTTAGATGTCCTCATAAAAGAGAAAAAAAATGCAAATAATAACATATAACTGCCTCGTAACCTACATTTCAATAGTGTTGTTGTTCTCGAAGTTTGGGTTTTTCCAAAAAATTTATAGATATCAGTTTGGGGCGTCATCTTCAAAGCTATTTCATGAGATGCTTTTAGGCTGAGGGTTGTGTTTATGCAGAACTGCATTTCTGTGGATGAGAGAGCGGGTAAAGGCAAAGAACAATAAAACTATCGGAATATCGACAGCTTCACCGGTATTTATTCACAAGAAAATCGAAATCTTCAATTTATCACATAGTGCTTTGTTAAAAAGGGTTGAAAAGTGTAACAGTCATTTTTTACGCTTAGATCCTCAAAACAAAATCATCTACGGACACGCATCAAGTGCATATGCGGAATAAGATAGTCACGTATGTACTTGAATTCGAAGTGAACAGTGCACTCTAGGATGTTTCTTTTATCCATCTTTTCACTAGTATGTTTGTCTTAATAATCTCTTAGTTGGATAGCAGTGTTGTGGACTATTTGGCGGTATTCTGAATGAGATAGGTTACATAATCACATCGTTTACATGAAATTTTATTTGTCCACTGAATATATTTGCCTTAAGTGGTTGACACCAAATTAAAGTCCAAAACAACAATTATTTAGTTGGTTGAAGGCGATTGACAGAGAGGCCTGCATCTGGGTTTTGTTCTTGTTGGCACTCGTCAGCAACCTTAAGGGAATGATGCTCCTTGTGAAATTTGAAATCGATTCACACAGTCTTACAGTCAGTGACACTACAACGGAGCTATCCGAACCACGACTGACCTCCTCTATGATTGGATTATACACACTGATTGGTCACTGGAGAGAAACCAATTTCATGTTTTCCAGTCCTGAGTGCTGACCGTATTTTACTTATCATTTTGCAGTATCGCCACCAATTCCTCCAACTTTTATTTGTCTAATGGTCTGATGATGTAGTCGTAAAATGAGTACCTTAAATTACGCTCACCAGTCTTCATATTTCTCGTATACCATATGTGATGATTGAGTGAAAAATTTAGAAATCTAACTAGCAATCTCTGTTTTATAAAGTTCCAGCTCTAAATTCTCAGCATATTTCATGGATGAACATTTAGGTCCCACAGTTGTGCCTCTCACTCTTGATGTACACATACAGTCTTGGAAATAGCTGTTGAGTTCTTACGAATATTTTGATCTAGATAGGAAGGGGATAATAATAAGCGTTTTTGAAAAGTGATAAATAAAAGACGTCAAATTACTACCTAGGTCGATTGAGAGACTTTGAATATCTCTGATCTAACAGTGCGTCTACATTTTTGCAGTTATTGGCTGCCAATCACCTTTCAGTTAGTGATACGAACTCTGACAGATTGAATTTTATCGTTAGATTTCATAGTTGCATCTTTTCTTTTAAATGGAAACAAGGCCTCTACTGATGTTTAACTCAACCAAGCTAAAAAAAGGTTAGACATCTTGTGCGATTAAAAAGCGCCTGTTTATTTTTATAACTTTTATTTGTTCTGCGCAATCAGCATCTACACCACCCCACAGTATATTCTTTGTTTGGCTTTTAGAAGTTATAACAACCACTTAAGAGAAAATTTCTTCCAGCTAACGTCTTATGCTACTTGCAACGACTAAATAGTAGTAGTGCAACTCAGTGCTTTTATACACACTTAAAGGGGATTAGTTCGGAATGTGCACGGAGTAAAGAGGTGTATGCAACACATGCTTAATACATATAGAATGGAACAGTATTATTTACTGGATTTTGTTTCGGACACAATTTATTGTTTATATTCATATCAAGTAACCAGTATTGACAAACACGGTTAGGTTCCAAATATTGTAAAAAGGAGTATACTGATTGCATTTTACAACAATGAGAAGTATTTGTATCCAAACGATAAGTGACCGAAAGCATTACACGCTATGACGTCATAATTCTTCTCCGTTGACACCACTACTGACTAGTATCAAACGGTGTTTTATTTACTATAAAATTAGTTCATTTTTCGAGTAACGTCCAGTAATATTTTAACGTCTGCATGCTACCTCTTGTCGAAATTCATTCTTTTCGATTTAGATCAAGAAGTCATCATGCTAAGTACCTGCTCTACACAGCTGTCATTATGCCCACAGCCTTATGGGAATTTCACTGATTCACGAAACTTGTACGGAGACGGTATTTCCTCTTAACTTTTCAACAACAGTACAGCGATACAGGTGACGCTGCATTGCATATAGGTGAAGGCATGAGCAACATTTCTTGGTTGTTAGTGGTTATAGTGTTATTGCTTGTACTACACCGTCGTTGATTGGACGGAATTGACCAGTCTCTGTTGGTATATGGGCTCCTGTGAGGATGCCTCGATATTGCCCGTGTTTTAATTGTGTATAGTAATGATGAGTAGTGGGCAGCAGTGGAATCCAGGATGTACACTTCGTTCTATTTGGGACTCGTCAGGTGGATGTACTTGCACAAGAAGTGGCTATCGTCTCTCAGTGGTGTAGTGGATTACACTCTCGCGATTGAAGCCATCGCTCCCTAGTTCGAACCCCGGCGGGGGCAACACTTCTCATTGGGAGGCAGGTACATCCAGCTGACGAGTCTCAAATAGGGTAAAATGCGCATCCAGGATTCGACTGCTACTCACTAC